GGTTAGGTGTGTGCCCACCTTTTGCTGATGAAGCCCGCATTGGGACAGCAGCAGCAGCAGCAGTTGCTGCTGCAGCAAAAGCAGCAACAGCAGCAACAGCAGCAGCAGTTGCTGCTGCAGCAACAGCAGCAACAGCAGCAACAGCCGCAGCAAGAGGATCTGCTGCTGCTGCTGCTTGCTGCTGTTGATGGTGCTGCTGGCTTGGGGGCTCCTCCTTGCATGTCTCTCCTTCAGGGGGAGGCAGCAGCAGCAGCAGCAGCAGCAACACTTGCTGCTGCAGTGCAGCATCGCGGCGAATGCAGCGACGCACAGCAGCAGCAGCAACAAAAGCAGCAGCAGCTGCTGCACCAGTACCAGCAGCAGCAGCAGCAGCAGCAGCAGCAGCAGCAGAGCCGCAAACCACAGAACAAAGTAGCAGCTGGCTGGGTACGGGGTGTACATACATCTCCCCATGTTGCTGCTGCTGCTCTTCGTTTGCTGCAGGGTGTATGTGAGACAGCAGCAGATGCAGCAACGCTGCTGCTGTCTACAGATGCACCGCAGCAGCAGCAGCAGCAGCAGCAGCAGCAGCAGCAGCAGCAGCAGGGACTCGAGCTGGTAGCAACCATACTCTCCAGTGCTTCTTGTCTTTTTGCTGCTCAGACACTGCGTCGCTGTCTGCTGCGGCCCACAGCAGCACATTGCTTCTCTAACAGCAGCAGCAGCAGCAGCAGCAGCAGGAGCAGCAGCAGCAGCAGCAGCAGCAACAGCAGCAGCAGCAGCAGNGCAGCAGCAGCAGCAGCAGCAGCAGGAGCAGCAGCAGCAGCAGCAGCAGCAACAGCAGCAGCAGCAGCAGGAGTCGATGCTATTACTGCAGCAGCAAGAAAGCATGCAATTCGGTTCCTCCTGCATTTGCTACATGTGCAGCAGCAGCAGCAGCAGCAGCACTACGAGAAGCAGCAGCAGCAGCAGCAGCAGCAGCAGCAGGGAAAGACGATCAACTGCTGCAGCAGCAAACATCTGCTGCTGCATGGAGACATAGAGGAGAGCTGCTGCTGCCCGTCACCAGGTTCGTGCTGCTGCTGCTGCTGGCTCTCTCTATCCCCGGGGTAGATGCATACCCTGGGCTGCAGCCGCTTACAAACGAAGTAGCGAGGACAGCATGTTTGCTGCTGCTGCTGCTGCACACAGGCAAGAGCAGCAGCAGCAGCAGCAGCAGCAGCAGCAGCAGCAGCAGCAGCAGTAAGTGGATGGGCAGCAGCAATAACAGCGGCTATGTTAGCGGCAGCAACTGCTGCTGCTGGTGGCTCCCGCACTGTGTTGCTGCTGCTGCTGCTGCTCTCGATCCTACACTAACAGCAGCAGCAGCAGCAGCACAAGCCCGCAGATACAACTTGCTGCTGCTGCCGTGTGGCGAGCTGTGTACTGCTTTTTTTCTGTCTCGTTGCTGCAGCAGTTTCTCTATCGATGGAGTTCCTGCAGCAGCAAACGAAGCAGCAGCAGCAGCAGCAGCAGCAGCAGCAGCAGCAACCTGGGTAAAAGCAGCAGGCAAAGCAGCTCTAGAGGTGCTGTATGCATGCGCTGACTGGGTGCTGCAGCAGCAGCAGCAGCAAGCGTGCGGGAGCTATCAGCAGCTGCTGCGTGAGAGAAGAGCAGCAGCACCGCTGCTGCGGCAGCAGCAGCAGCAGCAGCACAACAAAGGCAGCATCTCCAGCCTATTGAGAGTAGCAGCAAACCCCACTGTCTTGCTGCTGCTGGGCGCAGCTAGCCGCTTCATTGCTGCTGCTGCTGCTGCTATGGGGCCGGGATCGATGCAGCAGGGAGAGCTGCTGCTGCCCCTGAAGCAGCAGCAGCAGCAGCAGCAGCAGCAGCAGCAACAGCAGCAGCAGCAGCAGCAGCAGCATGCTGCTGCTGCTGCTGCTAAGGCTAAAATAGACAAGCTTGTTGCAGCAGCACCACAGCTGCTCACGCTGCTGCGG